TCCTCCTCCTCCTCCTCCTCCCTCCTCCCTCCTCCCTCCTCCCTTTCCAATCGCTGACCCAGAGTATTTCCTTGCTGCTTTTGGAGTCTCAGTTCTCTTCCTTTTCTGTGGGGCAACTAAAGCTGTTTTCCCTGCTGATTCATCATATTTGGCTTATAGTCCAGGTACAGTGTATCTCATTAGATCAATGTTTCTCAACCTCAGCAACTTTAAGATGTGTGGACTTCAGCTTCCAGAACTGAAGTCTGGCTGGGGAATTCTGGCTGGGGAATTTTGGGAATTGAAGCCCTCAGATCTTGAAGTTGCTGAGGTTGAGAAATACTGGTCTTGAAGAGCCCTTAATTCCAGGGCAATCATGGTGGAACTGTTGTGACCATTCCAAGCATATGTCTGATGACAAATTCTCTTAGTGTTTAACTTATCACAAGCTGTGTCACTAGTTCTTGCTCAGGCATTACCCAAGTTCCTACCTCCAACAGATTTTTAATTTAATGTTGGTAAAGGATCCAGAGGCATTTAAGGGAGTGGAAGATCTATAAATTATCTCAATCAGCACATGAGGCTATACAAGACGACTGTCTTTATCACTTTCTTTACTTCTGGGGGTGAACTGCAGGAGGTCTTTCAAAGGAGTGGTCCATGAGATTATAGGCGTGAATCCCTAAGAATGGATGCTATAAGATGAGGGAACCCTTATTTTCTGAAGGAGATCTCCTGCCACTTCTTCAACAACTCCTTGAAACAACAGACAAAACCCAATTCTTCTGCATGCTCTGTTTATTTTGGTTATGGCTCAATGACACTTAAAAGTTAAGAAAGAACAGCACAGTGAGCTAGAACATTGAAGTGTAGTAATTAAACCCCAATCATCCATCACCAACTCTGAAAATAAAGTTAAGTACCTTTGGTCCCAAATTCTTACCACCCTCTTGATTAAGCCCTCAAGATGCTGCCCGCTCAAACTTATTGGCCATTAAGAAGCATTACCATCCTTCCAGGCCCATAGCATTCTGGCACCCCATAGACATAATGTTGACATGAACTAATCCATTTGCTTGTTGTGACTCTCCTACTGGGTAGGAACATACATTCTTGGTTGCACATCCCTGGAGATTGGCTGTCACACTGAATGCTGACACTGGGGAGAAAATGGGGAGAATGAAGCATTTATGAAAACTTTCTTGTTTCTTTCTTGCTCTAAATGGTGTAGCACTGAGATACATCAATCAATGTGCGCTTCTGTCCAGTCACCTAGACAAGGCCTGTTGGGCATTGCCCTTCCATGCAAGGTACATGGGGAGTGGACGAGATGACCGGCCTTCTGTCTGGTAGCCCCTAATC